CCTTTTATTTGTTTCCTTATATATTAATATTACAAGATATAATTTTGAGTAAGGTGCACAATACCCATTGTAAGTGCATTATTTTTCCAATTAATACATGTATTCTTTTGAGTATTAATCTTATTTAAGTTTTGCAAAATACTTTGTCACTTCATCATTTATGAGTTCCAAATTTAATTCCATTTGAAATCCCTATCGAGAACACTGTACGCGTCCAATAATATTCCAATTCAACTCGTAAAACAAATTGTTAAAGTATAAATTCAGGATTCCATGTATAGTCGATATGAAATTTTTGTCACACATCTACAACAACTTATCATATTTTCTCTGGAGTTGATAACTCTAGGAGATTTAAAATCGACGGTGTATGTAAATTACAACTTGTGATAGACATTTTGAGGGGTTTTGATTTTTGTGTGTGAGAATAAATTTCATGTTGTTCATTGAATTATTATGTCAGGAATAAATTAGCTCTCATAATTTCCAGTCAGTTGCGATGGCTGGCCACTCCAATTGACTATTTGAACTTTTTTAACTTCATGAAAAAAAAAGTAGTTTAACATTTTGCTTTATCATTGTTAATTGGAAGCAACTTTTAATACAAATAATTGTTTTAATTCATTGTCAATTTTACAACTACACTGCTTTTCTTTTAAAAACTAAAAAATAATTCATTTGGAAAATAATGCATGAATTTGGGGGAAAAAAGGGGTTTGATTTTGAACCCGTTCAAAGAACTTGATTCCCGTTCGAGGGGAAAATGAACAGAGAATTTAGACGCCATCATCGCCGTCCTTGCACCAACCATCACCATTCACGACTATTTTCTTTAATCGTCACAGTTTGTCACTTCCATTCCCTCGAAATCTAGCTCGCAAACAATAACCAGACCAGACTCAAAACCCATAATAACTCAAACATCGTCAATCTCTCCTTTCCGTCGCGACAAACTCACATTGTTGTTACTATACGTCTAACACTTAAAGAACGGCCATCTTAGAAGAAGACTACAATGATTATAGTACATTTATTATAATAATCCGGCATTTAAGAGCCTTATCGAATCAACAGTCTTCGGCAAATTCCAAAGAAGATCTTCGACTTTAGGATCCGTCTTTCCATGTTAATCCAACTGTGACTGTAAAGTAAAGATTAATTTAATCACATTGCGTATTTCTTATTGAAAAAGAACTATCCTGATTTAGATAATTCATAATCACATCCATATTTCGTAGTCTTTCCAATATGAATGGACCAAACTCAAATCGCTAGGCTTTTATAACACTGAAATTGGTCGTTTTTTCCCTAATCTGTACATTTTTTTCGAGAAATTTGTCTTGGACATCCTTAAAAGTTTTACTGGTAAATTATACGAGAATTTTGCCCTTCTTAAAACTGTCAACTAATTCTCATATAATTTACCCAGTAAAACTTTTAAGGATGTCCAAGACAAATTTCTTGGTTTAACGGAAAATTTCTTGGTTTAAAGTGCCTATGAAACGGAATATAAAGTGCCTATGAAACGGAATTTCTTGGTTTAACGGAAAATTTAATGGAATTTCTTGTTTTAACGGAAAATGTTTTTTCACCGTTAGTTTTATTGTTGAAATGTTTTCATTAAATAGCAATTAAGCCACGTCATTGATATTTGTCCGTTAGAATTCCATTATCC